AATATTTGTAAGTTTTGGCATAATAACCACGAAATAATAATAATTTGACGAACTTGTAATTTATTTTATGTATACTGGTTTTTATGATTCTTATTAATAATTATTAAACCAGTGTTTGTTATTTAATTTTGTTTCCCTTTGGATTCTATTCGGTTTTTATAAAAGAATAGGTTCACCGACAACGGCAAACACTGGTGATGCCGATATTGTCATAACTTTTTTAAGAGCAAACTTTTTTTTCGCAAAAATTGATACAAATGCATTTGAGGGGTTCCTAAATCCAGTGGTGCAGTCAGATTTTTTTATAAACAAAATCGTTAACAAAATTTTGCTATTTTTCACTTAAAAAAAAAATTCGTAGCAGGCCCTGAAAATCAAAATTTCGTCTTTAAATTTTGCATCAAGATGGAGCTTTTGGAGAACTATCTTAAAAAAAAACCGGTTCAAATTGGTCCATAAACAACTTTTGTACGCGAGTGTTTCCATTCTTAATGGGTCACCCTGTATATTTTTTAGCAATGTGAAATCAAATTCTGTGAATTATTCTCGAATTATTTATCGATTTGTTTTTTTTTTAATTTATACCAAAAATTTCAATATTTAACAAGTTCTTATGGGAAATATTACGATGCTTACCCTTACAACAGAATTACTTGTGAAAAAATGCAAATGATAAAACGAAAAAAATATAGATCTGAATAATTAATTATCAGAGAAAGAAAAAAAGTAGGTAACCGCACATTTCACAGAGAAATAAATTATCGTGAAGGAGTAACGGCGACAGCGCAATAGAGTAAGAATGAGGATAGGTGGCGGGAAATTTAAATACACTTTTCGATGCACAAATTAGTCAAATTAGAAATGGATTACATTCAACTTGTGCTGATTTGTGTAATTCAATTTGGAATAATACAATAAAATGGGGAAGTTTCAAATGAAGTATGTTTTTCGAATCTTTTTTTATTTATAAAGTACGATAAACTTTCAGTACAAGAAGTAAAAAATACAGCAACATACAAACAATGGAATATTATTTATATTTTGCATCAAAGTGCAATCTTATGCATTTTGATAAATTATGACATTTTTAATATCTTTTTTCATTTTAAAATTAACATTTCAATAATTTTAGTATATTTTTTAGGATATTTTTGGTTGCAATGACATTGTATCACAGTATAATATCTATACAGGGTGAGGCTAGGGGAGGGGGGGAAATATAAATTACAGGTAGAAATAGGTACAGTGAATTAATTTTTTTAGAAATATTTTTAATAAAACCTTTTAAATACAAGAAAAACATTAAAAAACATATTTTTATTCATTGAAATTGGAAATACAGATTTCATCTGTGGTTGCAGATTTCTGGTAAACAATTTCTATAAAGGACAATGTTTTACCACACCAACACGAGATGGCATTAGTGAATGCATGCTCCGTCCGCCTTAGTGCTATTGACTCAAATATTCCAGCCTTGGCGATAGACCGATAATAAATATTAAGCCTAAGTTTGCAGTTTGAACGCCCAGTGTATTATGCCCGACTCAAACAAAAGGACGACGCAATCAAGGTGGACTTTGTGACCCAATACGAATCAGCCAAATCTACATATGCGATCAGTTCTTATCCGTATGTACTCGTAAGAAAGACACTATCAGAGCACGAGGTGACATTTCAAGACATGTTCCGAACTTATTCGCTAAAAGCTCTGCGGTAATAAGTTTGGCCGGTTATTAATCATTTCCAAATGAATATGAGTGCGTAATGTTTTCAGTTGGGTAACGCAACTTGTAGATATGTTTCTGAAACCTGGTAAATATCTGCGTTTACGATTAACGGTTTCCTAAGGCAAGCACAATATCGAAATTTGTGCTGAATATAATTTATTACAGTTAATTCTTAATCTCATAAATATATTTATATTTTGAAACAATTCCTGACACAAATTTATCTTAGTATACAGAAAACAGTAGATACGTCCTACTATGGTTTTTAACTAATTGTATTATGGGAAACAACTACTCTGCAGACTAAAGTCCCGCAATATTTAGTAAACATCTAAGATATTCATCAGTAGAATCAGCAGAATAGTTGTCTACCAAAATATCATTAGCTGATTTTGCATAGTCATGCTTACATAGTACAGATTAGTAGGTTGCTCTCTGTTAGTAAATATCAAGAAGCGTTTCTTGACACACAAACGCAATTAAGAAATACGTATTTTTTCTAAAAGCACTTAGCCACTTCTGGAGTCCTACAGGGATCTGTTATAGGGCCCCTACTATTCAACATTTTATCAATGACATAATCAATTGTTTAGATATTAATTACCTTCTCTATGCTGATGACTTGAAAAAATTCTCAGCCATTAAGAACATCGCCTATTATATACGTCTTCAAAATAATTTTATTCAAATTGATAACTGGTAGGTACCAATTGAATAGACTTCCTATGAATGCTAAGAAGTGTAACATGAAAATCGTGGAAAATAATATTTGATTATAATTTTAGTAGTGTTATTTTGGTGGTATTTTTAAGGACAAGTTATCTCTCAAGTCATACATTGAAAAAATAATATTAGAAACAAGTCGTAGGGTTTCATAGCCAGAAACAGTAAAGATTTTGTCCAAACAAGTAGAATAAAAACCTTGTATTTTTATCCTGTTCTGTAGTTTGGTTTTTACACCTGTAGAAAATTGCATCAATAAATAATAAATACAGTCCTGAAAATATTTGAATCTGCGCACAGATGGATTTTTAAATAGAAAAATGTTTTAATTGTGATTTCTGTTATTTCAGGCGTGATAACATCGAAAGCGATGGCGAATATTTCACGCCCAAACAAATGCAAATTAAGCGATAATCCTTTGCGAAACCGAAATTGAACTTTTGGTAGCAATTAATTACTCGCAATGACGTCATCCTATTTCAGAGTAACATATTGCGGAATAATTCTTTACAATTTAGATCGGACGCGATACATATTTCAGACTTTTGTAGCGAAAAAATCGTAGATATGCAAATGGAAATTAGCATAAAGCAGTATTTTAAAAATACGTGGATAGAAACGTCTGGGCTTTAAGTTTGCTTCATAACTTGCTCTTAATTTTCACATAGATACAATATAGCTTTCGCTTATAGAATTGATTTATTATTTATTGCTAAAGTGTTTAAAATATATTAGCTTTTACTGGAGCTAGGTCTGGAGACAGTGTTGGGCTGTCTATGTTTTGGGCATTTTTTAAGATACCGAAGAAAAATGAAAATCGAGAACATATTATATTGTATTTTAACACAACACAAATATTCGAGATTTCGGTATAAGCAGAGACAAAATAGCTATCGCCCTAGATCGCTACTGGAATAGGCCAGCGGTTTTAAATTTCCGAATTGCCGATAGACTACAGCAGCCTCAGAATTTTAGGAAGAATCAAATGTAGCGGCCCGCATTCCTACGCATATCTTAGCAACATATTTATTTATTTATTTATTTAACAAAGTATACTTAACAGGCATAGCCCAATTACAGAGTATATGAGAAACGAAATACAGAGTATGTAACATATATACATACATATGAACAACACTTTGGCAATGTTGCCAGGCATACTTACGGATTTATTGTGTACACATTTTTTTTATCAATATCTGTTTTTTGCGGTACTGTATTTACTTAAATGTATGGTGGAGGTATTGATAAAAATGTTTTGAAGAATCAACGAATATCTATGTAGTTTCATAAGATATTCTGCTGATTATTATTTTGTTAAATTTACTGGAGATTCTATGGGAGAGTTTGCATCCAGAGAAAAATAAATTTATAGTGTTGACTTGTGGACCATATGTTTTGATATTAAACGCACGTTAAGGAGTATTGATAGAAACTTAATGCAATCCTGACTCTGTCTGCATTGTGTCTGGAATAACAATAAATATGTAATTATCACAGATCTCCGCAACGTATGAATTGCATTCTGTTCCTACAGCAATAAATAAACTGACTCATCTCGGCTAGTGTGGCTAAACTTTCTATTAATTAGACATAATCGAAGCCGAAGTAAAATTTACCAAGGCATGTGACATTTCGCTACAGCAACATTCCCAGTCAACAGTCACATTTTATGTCATTATATATGTTGTCTAATGATGTTGAGCTTTCTCAATATCCTCTCGTCACGGAATAATATCTTCGAATAATGTAAGGTATATAAATTAAATCAGCAGTGATGTAACGTATTATTATATAATGATATAAAATTATGTTTGGTTTAATTAATCTATGATTTCATCACGAGGTGCATCAATTGGAAACTTAAATTTTTAAAAGTAAATGTTATTAGGTGTGGACAATAAACAAACATTTTAGATCAAGGTACTCGTGTTAGGTAAAGATCTGGAGTAAGTGGAGGCCGTTTCTATTTCAAATTGTATAGATATCCCACTGTACAAAACTTTTTTTATAATAGGACAGGCTGTCTCAAACTCGATAGTATGAGCCTATTGTGAGGATACAAAAAATTTAAATAAAACGTGGTGTTAAATGGGACTAGGTAAGCTTCATTTTCAATCGGAAGTATTATCTTTGGGATTTGTCAGAATGACGTCATCAATTATATTCTTTTCCAGAAAGAAACTCAATTTTTTTCCTGTTAAAAAGCTCTCTTTTTTCTAATAAATGGTGTTTCTGGAAAAAAATATAATTTATGACGTCATTAGTCGTTTGTTGCAGAGTTATGGCAAAACAACTCATGGTTCTTGCACCATGACAAGGCTGCCACACACTTAGATTTGTCAGTTCGCCAGTTTTGTCAAAGAAAATTCGTCACAAACTGCTGCAGAACTGCTTCGCGAAGTGGAAGGAGGTACTTTGAAGCAGACAAGGACCAATAATGTATAAAATTAATAATAACGCTTAAAAAAATTAAGTTCGGTTATTTTCTGAACAAACCTCGTACTAGTTAAATTAACTTTGGCATATAATCCATTAAACCTAATTTACCTCATTTGATGATTTGGAATACTTCGACTTGAATTTTTGCCTTTCGATGTTGAACATCCTCAGTTCTCTTTGTTTTTCCTTTTCCAGTTGGGTCACTTTAAACTCTAACTGTTTCTGCATCGCTCTATTTCTCACCTCTGCGGCATAGCGGTTCTTGTCTTTGCCCAGGACCGACATTTTGGGGCCTTTTCAAGTTTCACTTTGACAGGAAACTAACAAAATTGACAACTGTTAACCTCAAATAATAAATAATTTGTGTGAAATAAGCAGTCCAACTTGTCGATCCAATCCTGTTTTTAGACTGTGATACAAATTTTAAGAAGGTACGCTATAACATAAATATCCTCGATTTCTAATTTTAAAGAAACACATGTGTCGTGGGTAAAAAATAGACGATAAAGAGCTCTGAAGAAAACAATAAGCAAAGAAACTACTATAAAAAAATGTTTGATGGGTCATTCAATTCTATAATGCGTACATTTTCATGTCCTTAAAAAGATATTGATACTAACAGGACATTTTTGTCAATCATTTACACATGAAGTGTCAGAAATATCGATAAATCTCTCAGCAAGTGAAGACGAGAATAAGAGCTTCTATGCTCTTGAACCTTTTGAAAATATGGATAGTTAAATATAAATTGAATATAACTATTTCCTGAAGGGTCCAAAGTCAGTAGAAAATTTCTATTATATGTTTCTTTGTCCAACAACAAATTTTAATTCTTTAAGTCCTCAAACAATTTTATTATATTGATGGTAAATTTCCTTTTGTTCTATTTCAAAAGGTCTCCAAAATGCCATGTTGTAATAATATTGGTAAACAAAATATCCCTCTTATTTCTCCCTTTCGCAATTGCAATATGAATGATTAATAGAGGGTGTCTATAATAAATTAAAATTCCCTGAATCACACCATTGCTGCACTGCACTCCTAGGTCATTTGTTGACAACTGAATTTATGGCCAGGTGGTTCAGTGCGGTTGTGTTTGTGCCGCATTTGCCCACGCGTTCATTCTTCAACTGGGCGACCAGGCCTATATATGGGTAGTATATATGTATACAGGGTGTTAATGAATAGGTGTTACAAATGGATATGGTATGTAAAAAATCCAAAAATAAGTGCAGTTTACTTAATAAACATATGTCCTAAAGCGGCTCATTTTCGAGATACAGGGCGTTGAAATTTAAAAATAATAAACTATTTTTTCCTGTAGCTCCGGTATTAGTTAATATTTCTTTATCAAACTCAACAGACAGATTTACTAGCTTAAAGGATGCATAAATATGGCAGAAACCATTTATTGGCTTCTTCTAGTGGCGTGCGATAGGTGTCGTTTCACCTTTTATCCCCCCTAAATTGTGCGGCACTGTACAAATATTAGTTTTTCGTATGTTTTTGAATTTGCTAGTATTTTTTACGTAAATAATGTATACTTGTTAGACTTCCATAAAATGAGTAATTATCAAGTTATTAACATTTACATTACTGAGGTCACCTTATGCTCCAAAAACCAAAAATTTTTAAAAAGTGACATGTTGAGTAAATTTTTCACGAAATTGTTTAGTAAATGCATACATGTGTCGCTTTTTCTTTTTGAGATACAAAACATTCAAGGTTTCCGTATTCCTCAAGCAAGTTTAAAATGTTGGAAAAAAAACATTTGCCGTTGACATTACTTGTATTTTAATGTCAAATTATTTTCGATTGTGAAACGAGGCAGTTTTTAATTATTATTGTTATTTTAGTGTAAAGTTTAGTTTGTAAGTTTTAATTATTAGATAGATATCTTTATCCATTCGTTTAAAACATTCATACATCATGAATGAATATACTTCTGCTGATTATGCAAACATGATATTAATGTACGGTCAAGCGCGTTGTAATGGCAGGGCTGCCCGTCGGTTATACTCAATCCGATTTCCAAATCGTCCAACCCCTTCACATAAGATATTTGGAAGAGTGTTTCGCAGGTTGCAGGAAACAGGAACTTTTACAACAAATAGGGTTAACTGCGGGGTAAGGAGAAACCGCAGAACGATAAGGTTCGAAGAAGAAGTTCTTAATAGGATAGAAGAAAACCAATCCACCAGCAGTCGAAGTATTGCTCAGAATATGCATGTAAACCATGTAAGCGTTTGGCAAGTTTTACGCGAGCAACAGCTTCACGCTTATCATATACAAAAGGTTCAAGCTTTAACTCCCGCCGACTTTCAGCCACGACTAAACTTTTGCCATTGGTTTCTTCAACAGTGTCAGTTGCAAGCAAATTTTCCGCGGTTTGTGCTTTTTACAGACGAAGCATCCTTCACACGAGAAGGGATCTTTAATTCTCGCAACAACCATGTCTGGGCTGAAGAAAACCCTCACACCATTCGCTCCACTAGATTTCAGCAGAAGTTTGGCGTCAATGTCTGGGCTGGTATAATTGACGGGCGCTTAATTGGTCCGCACCTTCTTCCAAATCGTCTTACAGGTCCTATTTATTTAACGTTCCTACAACAAGTACTTCCAGAATTATTAGAAAATGTGCCATTGAACATTCGACAGGAAATGTGGCTGCAGCATGATGGTGCGCCAGCGCACTTTTCGCTTGTTGTCCGAGATCACCTTAATCAACAATTCGGTGTAAGATGGATTGGCCGTGGAGGACCTATGGCGTGGCCACCACGTTCCCCAGACATGACCCCGCTTGACTTTTATTTGTGGGGCCATATGAAGAGTCTAGTTTATGAAACTCCTGTTGAGTCAGAAGAAGATTTGGTAGCACGCATTCTAGCTGCAGCGCAGGAGATCGAAACGACGCCTGGCACTTTTGACCGAATGTACACAAATATGCTTCGAAGAATTAACGCTTGTATCGCTACTGGTGGCCGTAATTTTGAGCATTTACTGTAATTTTTTTGTGCAAAATAAAAATACCTTTTAAACAACTTTAACTTTTTGTATCTCGAAAACTAGCATAGCATAGAAAAACATAGTTTTTGGAGCATAAGGTGACCTCAGTAATGTAAATGTTAATAACTTGATAATACTCATTTTATGGAAGTCTAACAAGTATACATTATTTACGTAAAAAATACTAGCAAATTCAAAAACATACGAAAAACTAATATTTGTACAGTGCCGCACAATTTAGGGGGGATAAAAGGTGAAACGACACCTATCGCACGCCACTAGAAGAAGCCAATAAATGGTTTCTGCCATATTTATGCATCCTTTAAGCTAGTAAATCTGTCTGTTGAGTTTGATAAAGAAATATTAACTAATACCGGAGCTACAGGAAAAAATAGTTTATTATTTTTAAATTTCAACGCCCTGTATCTCGAAAATGAGCCGCTTTAGAACATATGTTTATTAAATAAACTGCACTTATTTTTGGATTTTTTACATACCATATCCGTTTGTAACACCTATTCATTAACACCCTGTATATGGCTAAATAAATATGAGAACAAGTTTTTCAAATATTTCAAGGCCGAGTTGCTGCGTCAGCGATCGAACCTGGTACATACTGCCAACCTCTTGGTTCTTCAATCTTGAGATCGGAAAGATTATATCGCCACTCTAGAATTTTGAATAAATCGATGTTTGTATAAATGGTTTAAACAATGCTTTATTACGTGAAGTATACAGAACAAATTTTTAGGTGGAGGAAAAATCGAGAACACAACTTTTTTCGAGCTAAGGACAAACACAGGAGTGCTTATTGCAACTCGTGAGAACCTGCGTGAGAGTATAGAAGCTAGATTGAGTCCCAGATAAAACTGAAAAGAAGAGGATGAAGAAAATGTCAATATAGACGGCAGATTATATGTTGATTGAAGATATGCATATAACTAATGCTGTCAGAGAGAGCCGCAATTCAATGGCGTGCCAAGCGGATCGACCGAGACATGCGGGAGCCGTTGCCTCAGAATGCTTTTTACGTTCACGTTAGTATACTTTGTTATCGTGCAGATGTTGCGTAACTAATTCCTATCCGTTGGTGTTTATGGTGGTGTATTGTAGACAATTTAATTTGTTGCTTTTTAATAGATAATGCGTAAGTCTATGTCCCGCGGCTCAGTTCTGACAGCCTTACATATAGAGTAGGAAAGTACCGATGGTCTATCAGAAGTTACTTGAGAGCGATAAAGTAAGCCATAGAAATCCATGTGATAGACAAGGATGGCTATAATGAAGGCGTCTAATAGTCAACGCCCATTTCGCCCTTCCACAAATAAGAAGTGGATCTTATTTGTGGAAGGGCGAAACGGGTGGTGACTAAGAGAAGCCTTCATTATAGCCATCCTTCTCTATCGCATGGATTTCTATGGCTTACTTATCGCTCTCACATAACTTCAGATAGACCATCGGTACTTTCCTACCCTGTATAACAAAATTTCTTATGCAGAATGGTAACAAAAACTTTAAAAGCGTTTTTCGTGAAACCACTTTTTTTAACAGATCGGAAACATAACTCTAAAAGTTTTCAACGAACTGACATAAAATTTTGTACAAAGCTTCACAATAATATAACTCAGGGATCATCGTAGGGGTTTTTCGATTGGTTAACAATTTTCATTGTTATTAACAATTTAATGCAAAATATTTCGTCTTTTTTCGACATTTTTCTTTTGAATGTTCATTAAATCAACAATTATTAATATTTCTTAATTTGCCTATGATATTCCCTAGCTTTTAGTACATAATATCAGAAAATTTGTGTATTTTGTTCCAGGGTCACTCGCTAATAACAAACTTTTCCGGCCATACAGTTCTCTGGAAAAAAGGTGTCGTTGCTTGCCATCACTTACAGCCGCCATTTTGAATCCAATTAGTTTGAAAACATTCACAATACTACCTGAATATGTACATTAAAGCCTTTTTGTTCCTGACACTATAACTTGTGTCGATTTTTCCTTGAAAATTCCCGAAAATCACCTTTCTTCGAACCTCTAGAGTGGCGTTAACTTTTAATTCTTATTCCTTAATAAATTTTCATATAAAAAAATTAAAAAACCTCTTTGCACATCCTTCATTTTTAGTTGCTTTCTTTGTTAAATAAGTTGCAAGGCGTTTTTCATTTTTAGTTTAATTGTTTGCGATGTTCTGCTGAAAATCCTCGATTTCTGTAGAAGTTTATTATACAGGGTGGCACAAAAGTATGGAAACCCCTGAATAACTCGTCAGGA